AAGAAACGAGGCCTGGAAAACTACAAAAAGGAGGTGAACTGATGGACTGTCATTAAAAGTTGCTGAACTGCCGACACTGATGATCGGAGACAAATGATTAACTGTTGAACTCTTGGTGGAAAACAACATGTTTACATTACCAGAGAAAATGACTCCTTAAAGTTAAGAAGCGTTTACAATGATTCCTTAGGTTAAGAAGGAAAACCTATATCAGTTAGGAAGAAAAGTCAACATCTGCCCAGAACTGATGGGAGTCAGCGGGTTTTAACTGGACAACACCTCTCACTCATTTACAACAACTAGAACAACATCAGCAAGAAATTACTAGGCATGGGCAATCCATGGTTCTAAATGGTTCTAAAGTACTTACAAAACGAGGGGTTGCTGGTGCTTTGCTTCTAAAGTGTTTCTAAAGTTCTGGTGGTGAAAATTTCAGAACTCAAACAAAACTTTCAAAATGTTGTTATAAATAGTAGTTCCTAATTGGTTCTGTCATAAAAATCACCAATAACGAAGTGATGATGAAATTTTGGAAGTTTTCTTAGATTTCTCAAATTTTCACCACGAGAACTTTCGCAACACTTTAGAAGCAAAGCACCAGATTTAGAAACACTTTGGAAGCAAAGCACCAGCACCCCCTAGTTTTGTACTTTAGAACCATTTAGAACTATGGATTGCCCATGCCTAGAAATTACTATATAAGAGACCTTATTACAATCCAAAATTGTGGCAGACCAGAGGAGTCTGGTCCACCTGCCAACTTCTCCAATAGAAGGAGAGAGGTGGTGTATTCGCAGAATGGCAGATTTTCTGGGAAAGCAATCTGGCCTACTTCAGGATCTCTTTTCCAGGAGAAGGAAGAAGAGGAATTGATGTTTATATGTGTGTGAATGTTGAGTAGTATCCCCTTTGTTTGGGTACGCAAATGTATAGAGCAGCGTTTCTCATCCTAGGGGTCAGGACATTGGGGTGGGCACAAGGGGGTTTCAAAGGGGTCACCAAAGACCATCAGAAAACATATATGGGAGAGCATGCAAGGGAGAGCATGCAAGGCTGGAGGGAGCCTCGTGCCAGCGAGTCCCTTCAAGGTATGGAGGTTCTGGATGGGAAGTCCAGCCCAATTCTATCATTGGTGAGGTTCAGAATGCTCTTTGATTGTAAGTAAACTATAAATCCCAGCAAAGATAACTCCCAAATGTCAAGGTCCCTTTTCCCCAAACTCCACCAGTGTTTACATTTGGGTGTTTTAAGTATTTAGATTGTTTGAGTCCACAGTGCTCTCTGGATGTAGGTGAACTACAACTCCAAAAATCAAGGTCAATGTCCACCAAAGCCTTCTAGTATTTTCTGTTGGTCATGGGAGTTCCGTCTGCCAAGTCTGATTCAATTCCATCATTGGTGGAGTTCAGAGTGCTCTTTGATTGTAGGTGAACTATGAATCCCAACAACTACAACTCCCAAAATGACAAAACCAAACCCCACCAGTATTGAAATTTGGGCATTTTGGGTACTTGTGCCAAATTTGGTCCAGTGAATGAGAATACATCCTGCACACCCAATATTTACATTATGATTCAGAAGAGTAGCAAAACTACAGTTATGAAAATAATGTTATGGTTGGGGGTCACCACAGCAGGAGGAACTGTGTTAAGGGGTCACGGCATTAGGAAAGTTGAGAAATAACTGCTAAAGAGCCAATATGTGTCTACCTTCTTTCTCTATAATGTGCCTAATACTCTGTCTCGTTGTGAATGAAATAAAATAGCCTTTTAAATGCTGTTTAAAGTGTGAAAAGCACTTATGACGGACTCTTAGGGAGGAAAGGGGAAGAGGGGGGTCTCCTCCTACCAGACGCTGTCATTAGTCGTTTCCAGAAATTTCCCGTCTGAGCTGTAGAACATGTCCACCCTCAAGTTCTCGTTGGTGTCGTGGGCTGAGTTGAAGTTGGTGATCATGCGGGCGGGGAAACCGAGGCACCGGAGCACTGTAAGGAAGGGAGGAAGGGGCCAAAGTGGTTGGAGAGGACGGGAAGCACTGACCCCTGGCTGACCCTTCTTCCCCTTCAACCCTTGAACCATACCTGTGGTCAGCACTCCTGCGAAGACCCAGCACTGCCCATAGCGGACTGGCTGAAATCCAGAGGACTTCCATTTTTGCAGGATCTTGGCACTTCCTGTCCAGCTGCTAGGACTCTGTCCACCAGAGTAATTGGTGCTCCAGTTTCCCCTCAACACGCCCTTGTCGTATGTGTCAGTGTCGTTGATCTGGGAATCAAGCAAGGGATGGATGGATGGATGGAAGGAGGGAGATGGGGCTGCTGAGAGGGAGGCGCTCAGCCGTGGGAAGCCAATCCCTGCATCAGCCCCATCTGAAAGGTTCCCGATGTGCCAAGTTCCACCCCCAAAGATCACCTTCCGAAGGGACAAGCAGCTGGATTCTCAGCTCCTCACATCCAGACCCACAATCTATCCCAGATAGGCAGATAGGAAGTCTGACTTGGCCACGGTAGTCCACGCTCTGGTTACATCCCATTTAGACTACTGCAACGCTCTCTACGTGGGGTTGCCTTTGAAGACGGCCCGGAAGCTTCAATTGGTCCAACGTGCGGCAGCTATGATACTAACAGGAGCGGGACGCAGGGAGCATACACCCCCCTTGTTGTACCAGCTCCACTGGCTGCCGATTTGCTACAGGGCTCAATTCAAGGTGCTGGCGTTGGCCTATAAAGCCTTAAACGGTTCCGGCCCAAGATACCTATCCGACCGCATCTCTACCTACGAACCCACCAGGACTTTGAGATCTTCCGGGGAGGCCCTGCTCTCGCTCCCGCCTGCTTCACAGGCACGGCTGGCGGGGACGAGAGATAGGGCCTTCTTGGTGGTGGCTCCTCGGCTGTGGAATGCCCTTCCCGTGGACATCAGACTGGCACCTTCTCTTATGATATTCCGCAGGAAATTAAAGACTTGGTTGTTCAAGAAGGCGTTCGAATAAGAAGTGCAATGATTGGTAATGACTATAGGAATGGAACAATGGAAGACGAAATTGGATTGTGGTTTGGACGATGAGATGACACTGAATGGTTTTGGTAGTAATGATGTTGTTTTTGTATGATGTTGTTGGTTTGTGAATTGTTTTATACTGTGTTTGAATTTTGCTGTTTCTGTGTTGTACACCGCTGTGAGTCGCCCCTGGGCTGAGAACAGCGGTATATAAGTAAAGTAAAGTAAGTAAATAAATAAATAAATTGCCCCCCCCCCCCCGGCCCATGAAGGCCTTGGCTCCAATAAGTGGAAAGGAGAGGCTGTGGCAGAAGTGAGCCTTACCATGTCGGTGAGCACCCGCCCGACGTATTTGGGGTCATTGCGTTGACACAGGCCGTTGGCCGGGTCATTGAGGTATTGTTTGCTCCGGTCCAGGATGGTCAGGCAGATGTCCAGAATGCCCTCCTGAAACTGCAGGAAAGGAAGGTGTCAGGTTGTTGTTGCTTATTCGTTCAGTTGCTTCCGACTCTTCGTGACATCACGGACCAGCCCACGCCAGAGCTCCATGTCGGCCGTCACCACCCCCAGCTCCTTCAGAGTCAAGCCAGTCACTTCAAGGTGTCAGGGGCCACAGAGAAAGCAGTCTGCAAAGATGCCCTGCTCTGGCTGCCAGGGGTCCAGTGGATCCGCGGGTCCCTTGTGTCCCAGTCTCCCTTGTGTCCAGCAGAAAACAAGCTTTCCCTCTTCTCCTTGGACCTACCTGGCCGAAGTTCCATCCCATCTTGTAGAAATTGCCCATTGTCTGCATAATGAAGGCTGACCCTCCCGTATTGGACATTCCTTCCTCCAAAGCAGCTACTGACCCACTGGACTCTCAGTCCCACTCCTGAGTGTGGCTGGTGGGAATGAGAGAAAGGGCCTTCTTCATGGTTGCCCCCATCTCTGGAACCCCCTCCCCAAGGAACTAAAGATGGCCCCTTCCCACCTCACCTTTATGGAACAACTGAAAACATACTTCTGCTCACTGACTTACGAGGAGGAGGAGGAGGAGGAGGAATAGATAATGACATTGCTATGATACCTCTGAGTGACATCTGCAATCCGTACTCGGGTCTTTCTGCCCCGCTAGCTCAGTTGACATCTTCAGTAATGATCAGTTTATATGTCCCCGAGGAACTCTGTGTTGTCTCTGGGAAATTGACATTTCTGTTTTTATGTCTCATGTTTGTTTTATATCTCATATAATAGGTTGTGTTTAAATCTTATTACAATTTGCTTAGTTATAATTTGTTTTCATATGGTGTGGAGTTAAATTTTTGTTATGATGTGTCTGTTAGTTGTTGTGTTCAGGCATTGGATGTTTGCCTTTTTTGAGATTGGAATCTGCCCTGAGTCCTTTCGGGGAGATAAGGCATAATATAAATAAAGTTGTTATTATTATTATTTGAAACACAACGAGATCAGTACACAGCAAACAAGAATACTATGCTGGCTGTTGTATTGGATCACACATCAGACACTTCCCAAGTGTCTAGGACAGTGCAATTTATTATTATTATTATTATTATTATTATTATTATTATTATTATTATTATTTGAAACACAACAAGATGTGTCCACGGCAAACAAGATCAGTCTGCTGGCTGTTGTATTGGATCACACATCAGACACTTCCCAAGTGTCTAGGACAGTGCAATGTTTATTATTATTATTATTATTATTATTATTATTATTATTATTATTATTTGAAACACAACAAGATGTGTCCACGGCAAACAAGATCAGTCTGCTGGCTGTTGTATTGGATCACATGTCAGACACTTCCCAAGTGTCTAGGACTGTGTGATGTTTTTATTATTATTATTATTATTATTATTATTATTATTATTATTATTATTATTAGAAACACAACAAGATGTGTCCACAGCAAACAAGATCACTCTGCCGGCTGTTGTATTGGATCACACGTCAGACACTTCCCAAGTGTCTAGGACTGTGTGATATATCGCCAAATAATGCATGCAAAATCGAGTAGGGTGGCCTTTTGCAGCTGACAGATAGCAATTTTGTCAGCGCCGATTGTGTTTAAGTGCAGACCAAGGTCTTGAGGCACTGCACTCAGTGTGCCGATCACCACTTGGACCACCTTGACTGGCTTGTGCCAGTCTTTGCAGTTCAATCTTTAAATCCTTGTATTGTGTCAGCTTTTCCAGTTGTTTCTCTTCCATTATTATTATTGTTACTACTACTACTACTGGAGGAAGGTCTCTATGATCCAGCCTGGGAGTGTAGTGGGGTCACTGTATCAAGGAGGGTGATTGTGAAAGGCCAGTCAGTGACCCAGTTGGGTGGCATCCGGCTTCATTGGGCTGATGTGCACCCCCCCCCCAAAAAAAAACACCATTGCTGGCCTATTGATGTGCAGTTGCTGGTGGTCTGGGGGCTGCTGCCTTCTCCACTGAAACTGGACCCTGGTGGGCATCTCCCCCTCCCCTGCCTGACCACAGCCATGGGGGACGGGTGGAGAACGCTATGACCTTCCTGCTGCATGAGATGGGGTCTTGCCCTTAAGGCTATTGGGAGCCTGGCAGGTGGCAAAATGGAGCTGTGAAGCCACCATCCGGCACCAGGAGCCCAACACTAAGATCTCTGCCCACTGGCCAGTCCTTCCTTGACCAAGTCTGCAAGACTTGGGCTGGCTTTGCAATCCGTGGACAGCTCAGATACTATGGGATCTGGTCTGGCTATGGCAGAGCTGGGCAAGGGGCCACCTCCAACTGACCCACAGACCCCACTTTGTGGAAAGGAGACTACTTTTCTCCAACTGGTCTACATACAGGAAAGGGACTGAGATTGACACTTGGCTCTCACCTAGTTCCATCCCTTTGTGTTAGTCTAGTATGGGTTTCATGTGCGTCGAACACCCATCTACCCATGGCTTTGTTTCAGGGCGTTGCACCCCAAGAGTGAGTGGGTTTTGGCCACAAAGATTGTCAAAATAAGCCAAATGGTCCCGTAAAGTGGATGCAGGCAGGCAGGTACTCACCGGTCATGATGCTGCTCCTCCAAGAGTCCTCCAATCCTATGCAGAGAGTGAGTCTGCTGCTGCTGCTGCTGCTGCGATGGGCGAAGGTGCTCCTGAGGGCTGCGGAGGGCTCATTTATGGGGCTCCAAAGGGGTGGAGGATCCGGCCCCTCCTTCCCACTCCCAGCCCAAAGCCAGCCCCCAAGGTTCCCAGTGGGGATGATGGGGCTGGTGGTGCATCCTGCCCTCCCTCCTGAGAGGCTCTGCACTGGCCAAAGGGAGGGGGTCATTGCACAAGACCACGTATCCATGATCTCTGGCCACAGAGAGACTTCCTACAATGTGTGAAGGAGAGAATGCTTCTAGCACATGGTCATAGACCCGAAAAACTTGCAACAACCCAATGTGTAAAGGCATTCTGGCAAATGTTGGAAATGGGAGAAAAAATGCCAGGATGTAATATCCTATGTGGTGCTAATGGTGAGCCAGCCAGGGGCCCCTGCCTTGAAGCTGATCTGATCTGCAGCAGGGAGTTCCACAGTTCACCTTTGCCTGCTTGGGCCAGTTTCCATGGAATGTGGCCACAGCAAGACTTTCCTTCTGATTTACTTTCTTTCCCCTTTGTAACATTGTAACACATCTCCCCAATAAATATCAAATTCATTGTAACCTTTTCCTCTCTATAGTGTTACTTTGTGTCCTTTACTGCCTCCCAATCATTCTTTGCATGAACTTTCCTCTGAACCGTGGATACGGAAACCCATCGGGTCCCCGTATCCACGGGTCAACGGATCACCCCAAAATCAGTGCCATTCTTCTCCTAGACTAATTTCAAGACTAATAGCTATCTCACTTTTGCACCGCTAATCTCTCCACCCCAGGAATAATCCTTTTTGCCCCCAAAACCCGACATGGAGCCCAGCTGGCTCCCTGCTGCCACAACATCGCTGTCGCCATCTCGTTGTTGCCTGGAGAGCCTGTTGACCTGGGGGACCTGCTGCGTCCACCCCTTGGGACCTCCAGGAAGCCGATGGGCCATCCTGGTCCTTGACGAGATGGGATCTATAGTTTTCTCCATTTTCCATATCCAGCACTGGCAACCACTTCCCAAAGACTCAGTGGACTCTGGGGCATCTGTCACAACGTCCCCCCATGGATTCCACAACTTTTTCAGAACTTTAATCAACTTTTATCAACTTTTAAGACTGGACTCAGGTATATAAGATGCTGAAAGGGATTGTTAAGGCTAAAATAACCACTTGTTGAGGATGCTGGATGATCACTTAGAGCAATGGTTTTCAACCTTCCTAATGCCGCAACCCCTTAATCCAGTTCCTCATATTATGGTGACCCCCAACCATAACATTATTTTCATTGCTACTTCATAATTGTAATTTTGCTCCTGTTATGAATCGTCATGTAAATATCTGATATATATGCAGGATGGATTGTCATTCATTGGACCAAACTTGGCACAAATACCCTATACATTTGAATACTGGTGGAGTTGGGATTGATTTTGTCATTTGGGAGTTGTAGTTGCTGGGATTTATAGTTCACCTACAATCAAAGAGTATTCTGAACTCTACCAACAACAGAATTGAACCAAACGTGGCACACAGAACTCCCATGACCAACAGAAAATACTGAAAGTGTTTGGTGGGCACTGACCTTGAGTTTCGGAGTTGTAGTTCGCCTATATCCAGAGAGCACTATGGATTCAAACAATGATGTATCTGAACTAAACCTGGCATCAATACTCAATATGCCCAAATGTGAACTGTCAGGTTCCGCTGGATCTCAGAATGAAACACACACTCACAAGAACAAATCCTGGAATTGCGGTTTATTC